CCTGTCAGGGAGTTGGAGAGGGTGCTAAGGTCTCCCCTGAGCCTCCTCTTCTCCAGGCTGAACACCCCCAGCTCCCTCAGCCTCTCCTCATAAGATGATTTAATGAAAGGCTGATCTGGTGGTTGTTTCATGGGAAGTACAAAAACTTGTCTTTCTTCTCAAAGTATGACTATGACAGGTCTTTAAACATGTCTGAGATAACTTTAGACAAGATAAAAGGTCGAGAAGAGCTAACAATTCAGAGCCAATTTTACATCCTGAGTGTAAACCGCTCTGTGTACATGATAGAGTGGAAGTGTTCAATACTCACAGCATAGATGTCCTGAGGTGCTGATGTGTTTGTGCCATTGGAGCGATGACATTTAAAAGTGAAATTATCTTTTGCACTGGAGGGGAATAAAATAAGTAGATTTTAAAAAACAAAAAGGTCTTTTTGCTTTCATCATTGTGAACTGAGAAATAAAGAAAAGTTGTATGCACTGGTACTTACGGATTTGGGGGGTTGATATAATGAATAGCTACTCTTCCCTCAATACTTCCAAGGGCAAATCCAGTAGGTTTGTTCACTTTGTCTTTAAAAATAGCAACACAGCGATGCTACATTTGAGAAAGACACAAAGGACTTTAGACAGAGATTTCTTTTCCACAGGGGCATAAAATATCACAGACATCAACACAAGGTAAAGTAAAAGCCACAAACAAGGTCAAGAGATAAATTCTGTTGAGAATTTGGGCCAGAGTATTTAAATTTCTAAATCCTTATGAAGATCAGCAGTAGATCAATGGCAAATCAGGTCACGTGCCAACAGATCAAAGCAGGTCATGTGCCACACTAAGGTAACTTGGTTTTGAAACACTGCTCATTTTCACCAGAAAATGTCAAATCCAGAACATCAATTATCTGTGTAAGTGCACCCACAGCAAATATGATCACTTACTTGGTGTTTAAGAGGAGATTCTATTCTTCTAAACTCAGAAGGATGGTTCTCTAGCTGATAAACTATCAACCCCCTTTCTGCAGTGGCCACAGCAGCCATAGGATGAACCTGGATAAGGTTGGAAAAAAGGTTGGAAGAGACACTTGTGTTAATATAGCATGGCAGGACTTTGCAGAAATGCACGAGGAATTGGAGAGAAATGGGAAGAAGAGAAAGAACAAAGTTCATTTGTAGACATATCTTCAAACAAAACAGATCAATTTTTCTCTGCCACTGAGGAATAAAACATATCAAAAATCTTCTCATTATTAGGTGACTCTGCCAATGTGAACTGCCACAGAGATACACAAACTTGTCCAGAACTAAGGGGAGGTGAGTCCTAGTGCTGGTTTGGTTTTGTGATGTTAGAAGGACACTAAGTGTGTTTTGTATGATGAAAACCCTTATTTTCCAGAGCCTGATCAGATTATGTTCTCCTACTAAATGTGACTGGATTATGTTCTTCTACTAAAATCACAGAGATCAAATACTAACAGTACTCAGAGCTGCCCCACAGAAGCCCCAGATACAGCCAGTTTATTCCTGCTCCCAGTTATCCAGCAGTTCACTGCATGTCATAGCTTACCACATCTGCACAGTAACATCTTTCAGGGAGCTGCAGGGTCATCATAGGTGTTGGTGAACGAGTATCCCAGAACTGATGGAAACAGACAAATTAACAGACTTACACTTGGAGCTGAGTATATGTTTAAATGCAGTAAAGAGAATACAGTTAGTCCCAAATTGTTTCACTCTTGCCCATAGCCTGATTAGTACAACTCTGTGAAGTGAGGCTAATCCATTAGTTATTAGCACTTAAAACAGCTTCACTTCACATAAAAACCTTCACACACACATTACTAGCTACTTGTTCAGGTCAAAATCATACCTTCAGGGTTTTATCCCAGCTGCCTGTCATCACACAGCTGTAATTTGGTGCTTTAATCCAATGGATAGTCTTCACAGGAGCATCATGCTGCAGGAAAAAGGACAAACACACATACAGTTAGTAAGGCAAGAGCGCACATTTCTTGCTTATGCTTATTTACACTTTTTATCCTTTCAAGAAAAATGATTCCTGATCTCAGTCACAGCATTTAGGATAAAGGTTGGTCAGGACCTTATTGTCCTTAGTGCTGTAAAACCTTCCAGTAAATAAAAAAGTTCCTGACACAATGAACTGCAACCAAGGAAGAGGATCACAGGAGAAACACAAATTAGGAACAGCAGGACACTGTATTTAATGATGAAGGACATTATCCATCATGCTAAAAACCAGCAGTGTGTAATAAACAACACAGTATATTAAACAAATAAAACTCCCTAGTTTCTTGCAACAGCTACAGAAAAAAGGCCAACGTTAATTACACCAATGAGGTGTTAAGATCAAGGCTGAGAATCTGAATTTTTTCATCTCAAATAAGACACAATCATTAGAACTAACTCTCTTCTTAAATTACATAACTGGTAACTCATCTTAGTCACCATAACTACATATTCTACAGACATTAACTTCCAAATTGAGAATGCAAATGACAATCCCTGTTCGTGCTGCAGCAGAGATCTGGTATTTGTGAAAGTGAATCCAATGATTTCTTCTTTCTTCCCCTCATTTAATGCAGCAGAGTGACTTAGTGAGGTCCCTGCAGCAATGGGAAGAGCTCTCAAGTAAAACAGGAAACATGCACAGGTTACTCAAATCACTCTGATCACCTATCACTGTCTCAAAAATATAAAAATGCCAAGAAATTTAGCTTTTAATAAAAATAGAGAAGGGAAAACCCACCTAATAGTGTGAGGCTTACTTACTTGTGCAATCTGGATTGCCTGGTTACTGTTGAGATCCCACATTTTGGCAGTTTTATCACAGGAAGCAGTAAATACTTTACTCCCATCCTACAAAACAAGGCCAAGAGATTAACTGGGTCTATCATGAAGTGTCTATTAGAAAATTGTCGAGTCTCATTGTCTTCCAGTAACATCAATGTAGCATGTACAGGGATTGTAAGGCAAAGAAGAAACATAAAAATGGGAATTTATTCATGACTGTGTGCCATAAAAGAGCAAACTGTGCTATTACTTAGCCTTAAATATACTCTTAACCTTTAAACTCACTTTTAACATAATTACAGCAAAATAAACCTAAGCAATAACCATGGGCTGCACCTACACGTGGCACTCATCTGCTTGGAAACCACAGGCCAATTTATTTAGAGTTTTGGTAAAAGTTGTGTACTTATTTTTGAAGAGGGACATACATCACTCCAGCAGCCATCCAGCACAGGCCCTGTGTGCATCTGCTGAGCCTTTGGAATGGTCTGTCCATTATCCTGAACTTCCCAGCAGCGAACCTGGAACAGGAGAAGTGTCTACAGATGTAACATATTCACATGAACTTAAAAGACCTGTCTGGAATATCCCCAGACTTAGCTTATCCAATGAAAAGTACAACAATTCAGAAGCAGTGAAACCTTATTTTATCTGATTATGTTCCTTTTAGCTGTACAGCCACAGCTTCAACTCCACCTCACCATGCTCTCCTGCAGAGCCCTTAACCCTCAGCTAGGCAGAGCCTGCTCACTGCACAGTCAGAAAAACATGCCCACATTCATCTTATCTCCCTGTTTTTGCCAGCTGGGATCTCACCCTTCAACCCAAACAAGCTTCAATAACATCACATGATAACTTTATCAGTATTTTTATCTTTCTGAGACGACACTGTCACACTGGACGATTTACCAGCTATGTTAAACTTACTGCCTCAGTCCCAGACAGGAACATTGCAGTTCTTCAACAGCTTAGGCTTTCAAGTGCCCTGGCACAAGTTTTTAGGATCCCATTTTGCTGTTTAGGCAGCAATCCTCCCATTTTATTCATCTGCATGTCTGACTATGGGTACTCACATCATTGGCCCATGATCCTGCAATGAGGAAATTGCCTGGCAGTGTTGGTGGACTAAATGCTAAACAAGATATGCTGTCATCAGGTGGAGATGTTACTTCAATATCCTACAAAGCACAGGAGACAGAATAAAATTTGTAATTGTGAGCTGAGACTTTGTTACTTCAATAAAGCAAATCAGTAGGTGCTGCTGTGACACACCAACACACAGAGCAGCACAGTGGTGCCAGGGGGCTGAGGCACATACCTTCATGGGGTTGTGGTTATCTGCTGTTGTGCTGCCAAACATGCTGGTACCCCCAGCACCAAACCCCGACGTCGAGCCAAACAGACTCATCCTTGCCCTGCAAACGAGGAAAAAACCTAGTGAGCTCTGCAAGGCCCTGAAGCATGTCTAAAGTGTCTCAGTGCAGCCACTATGCCAGCACAGCCCTCACCCTGCTGGGAGGCACCCAGGGATATACAGAGAGGGATGGGATGGGATGGGATGGGATGGGAAGTAAAAAAGGGAGGAAGGAAGAGGTGGAAGAAAGGAAGAGGTGGAAGAAAGGAAGAGGTGGAAGAAAGGAAGAGGTGGAAGAAAGGAAGAGGTGGAAGAAAGGAAGAGGTGGAAGAAAGGAAGAGGTGGAAGAAAGGAAGAGGTGGAAGAAAGGAAGAGGTGGAAGAAAGGAAGAGGTGGAAGAAAGGAAGAGGTGGAAGAAAGGAAGAGGTGGAAGAAAGGAAGAGGTGGAAGAAAGGAAGAGGTGGAAGAAAGGAAGAGGTGGAAGAAAGGAAGAGGTGGAAGAAAGGAAGAGGTGGAAGAAAGGAAGAGGTGGAAGAAAGGAAGAAAGAAAAGTAACGGGAGGAAAAGAAGAGGTGGAAGGAAAAGAAGAAGTGGAAGGAAAGGAAGAGGTGGAAGGAAAGGGATGAAGGAAGGGGAAGAAGGGTTGGAAGAGACCCTTCTCACCGCACCTAACCCCTAACACCTCCCCACTACCCCCCCTGCCAGGGATCCTCTCGGGCCGTTCCCTGGCAGGAGCTAACCCCTGCACGGCCCGTCCGGTTCTCTGGGCCACCCTCCGCGGGGCACCGACCCTCGGGCCGGGCACGACCGAGAGCTCCCGGCGCGCCCCGCAC